ATATATACAGTAATAATAATATAGATATATACAGTAACAGTAACTGATAATAATATAAATATATACAGAATAATACCTGATAATAATATAAATATATACATGATTATTGAATATTGATTGATTGATTTTTACCTTCATTGTTTCTTCAGTTTCCTTCACAGCTGCTTTTTCTGAACAAGAGAAGAAGAACTCAGAGCAGAAAGTGATGTAACAATCAGTGATTATCATGTTATTGATTATGATAACACATGTTTATAATTATGATAACACAAACATGATGGAGTGCAGAAAGCAGGAAGTACAAGCAGAGGTCAAATGTTTCCATGATAACCACAAGGTCACGCAGCGGTCAACAGGAAGTCCAGTCTGTGTCACTTTCAAAATAAGAAACTGAAATACACAAAATGTTCCTTTAACGTCCAGAAAAATGACACAGAGGAGGAGGAGGAGGAGGTGGGAGGAGAAATAAATAGGAGGAGGTGGGAGGTAGGAGAAATATAGAGGAGGAGGAGGTGGGAGGGAGGAGAAATATAGAGGAGGAGGAGGAGAAGGGAGGGAGAAGAAATATAGAGGAGGAGGAGGAGGTGGGAGGAGAAATAAATAGGAGGAGGTGGGAGGTAGGAAAATATAGAGGAGGAGGAGGTGGGAGGGAGGAGAAATATAGAAGAGGAGGAGAAGGGAGGGAGAAGAAATATAGAGGAGGAGGAGGAGGAGTTGGGAGGAGAAATAAAGGGGAGGAGTAGGTGGGAGGGAGGAGAAATTAAGGGGAGGAGGAGGGAGGGAGGAGAAATTAAGAGAAGGAGGAGGGAGGGAGGAGAAATAAAGGGGAGGAGGAGGGAGGGAGGAGAAATGAAGAGGAAAAGGAGGAAGGGAGGAGAAATAAAGATGAGGTGGGAGGGAGGAGAAATAATCAAGAGGAGGAGGTTGGAGGGAGGAGAAATAAAAGGGTGGAGGAGGTGGTAGCATAAGGAAGAGGAGTTGAGTGAAAGAAAGGAGGTGAGGGAGGAGGAGTGCAGAAGGAGGTTCAGAATGACAGACCTTTGTTAAGAGGAGGAGCACTTGTTTTCCTAACTTGGGGAGCCTGTTTAGGTGGAGGAGCACTTGTTTTTCTGTGTCGAGCAGTCTGTTTTGGAGAGGAGGAGGTGGCAGCTCCGGTGGGTGGAGCTTTGGTCCCAGAGGCAGAAGCTGCAGTAGAAATCAAGCGTCTCTTCTGTTTGCTGAAGTCTCCGTTGGTCTGGGGAGCGTTTGTTTTGTTGGCGAGGACCTCCTGGTCTTTAGAGGATGGAGGGGCTGGAGGTGCTTGGTGGATCAATGTGCTTGTTTTCACCTCTTGCACGTCCAGCTGCTCCTCCTCTGGTACAGCTACTTCTAAACTCTCCTTCATTATCTGCTCCGCTTCCTCCTCCGTCCCCTCCTCTTTCTCTCTTTCAATTGTTTCTTCCTGCTCCTCATCAGGATACCTGATGGAGGCCTGAACCTCCTTCCCCATCTCCATCCCTCCATCTCCTTCTAGCTGCTCCTCCTTTTTCGTCATCACAATTTTCTCCTCTGTCACCTCCTCTTCATCTATCATTTCTTTCTCTTCCTCTTTCTGTTCTTCTCCTTTAATCTCCTCCTCTTCATCACCTCCCCTCTGCTCCGTTTGTAAAGGAGGAGGTGTGATATGTGAGCAGAAATTCTCAGGCTGTTCCTGTTTCTTCTCCACCTCCCCATTTTCAACTCCTCCTTTTGGTTGCTCCATCTCCTCTGAAACGTCCTCTTTCTGCTCTTCTTCTTTGTCTCCTTCCTCCTCTTCTTTCTTCTTTCTTCTTTCATCCAGACGAGGTGTGGTGGAGGAGAAGGGAGTCTCTAGCTCCTCCTTCTCTTTCTCTTTGTCTCCGTGCTGCTCCTCCTCCTCTTTCATCAGCATGGATCTCTCCTCTTTCTCCTCCTCATCCCTCCTCTCTGACTGCTCCTCAGAGCTGCTCCTCATCTGTTCACCTCCATCTCCCCGCTCCCCCTTCACCTCCTCCTGCTCAGCTCTACTTTCATTTGGGAGTTTATCCTGAGAGCTGACAGAGTCGAGGAGGTCTGGGAGGACGGAGGAGGACAAACAGGAGAAGAGTGGAGACAACAAAGGGCAGAGAGGAGAGAAGGAAAGAGGAGAAAGAGGAGACAACAGGAGGAGTAGAGACAAACACTGAGAACACAAAGACTGACTGGATGTATTTAACACGTTACCATGGAAACAAGGATGTTTCTTTACTAAAGTGGTTGTTAACGGTAACAGGAGCAACCAGAGGAGGATTCACTAAAACTAAAGTTCCTCTCAATAACTGAGTACTGTCTGTAGGTGTTTCTTTCATTAACTCAGCCCTGAGTACTGTCTGTAGGCGTTCTTCTGTAATAACTCAGCCCTGAGTACTGTCTGTAGGC